TCTCTTGTTTGGGCATGGAGAGTTCCAGTCGGTCAGGATCCTGGCAGGAAACCAGATTCACCTCTGACCATCCCAATGCAGAGAATCAGTGGGGAAACCACTGGCAGGGGTGTGGGCCCCGCTAAGGGGACTAACAAGGAATGGGGCCACCCGAAGGCTAGCAACAGGGGCAAGCTGCCCTTAGTGAAAAAAAAAAAAAACTGTATAGACACACACATGGATATATGACAACCCCAAATTAGTGCATTTATTTATTCATTGTATATGGCATACAATGTATACTATATGTATACGGTATACAATGTATATAGTTGTGTACATTATGTACTATAATCGTACCCCAAATTAGTGTATTTATTTATTCATTGTATATGGCATACAATGTATACTATATGTATATGGTATACAATGTATATAGTAGTGTACATTGTGTACTATGATCGCACACATGGTGTACTATAATCATACCCCAAATTAGTGTATTTATTTATTCATTGTATATGGCATACAATGTATACTATATGTATATGGTATACAATGTATATAGTTGTGTACATTGTGTACTATGATCGCACACATGGTGTACTATAATCATACCCCAAATTAGTGTATTTATTCATTGTATATGGCATACAATGTATACTATATGTATATGGTATACAATGTATCTAGTTGTGTACATTGTGTACTATAATCGTACACATGGTGTACTATAATCGTACCCCAAATTAGTGCATTTATCTATTCATTGTATATGGTATACAATGTATACTATATGTATATGGTATACAATGTATATAGTTGTGTACATTATGTACTATAATCGTACCCCAAATTAGTGTATTTATTCATTGTATATGGCATACAATGTATACTATATGTATATGGTATACAATGTATATAGTTGTGTACATTGTGTACTATAATCGTACCCCAAATTAGTGTCCCAAATTAGTGTATTTATTCATTGTATATGGCATACAATGTATACTATATGTATATGGTATACAATGTATATAGTTGTGTACATTGTGTACTATAATCGCACACATTGTGTACTATAATCGTATACATTGTATACTATAGGGGATGCATGCTATAGTATACATAGTATACAATGTATATATTATATAGTACACAATGTATATGATATACATCATATATGTATATAGCACACATTGCATATGGTATTCGTACATATTGTATGTAGTATTCATCATATATAGTACACATGTCGTGCTGTATGTCACGCCTAGTACAGCACACATAGTAAGAGCACAGATTCTCTACTTCAGTGTCTCCATAGGTTTGCTGGGAGAATTAAGTAAGTATCTGCAGAGGGCTTGGAACGACAACTGGCATGCAGCAAGCAGCATATGTGGCACATGACGGTATATAACTTAGTACCCCAAAATAAGAGTTGTTACACACCACAGAAGATACCCCCGACAGGTGCACACAGCAGCAATCTTCAACACAGACAATCAACTCTACTCACCATCAAGATTCTTCACAAATCTTACTAACAAATCAGATTCTATCAACAAAACATCATCGCGACACCTCATCTGGGCTTCATCCCAGGGATCGCACCGAGGAATAGTTCACATACTGTTATTACCTATCCTCGGCGGTAGACCCATCGTATAACCTTCAGCCAGTGGTATCACGCCTATCAGTACTAGCATCTCTGAGCAGGCGTGAGCAGGACGGATTGATCCAGGTGCAAGCACAGTTCGAAAACAGCTGAACAAGAGCGAGATCGTTCTTTACCTCCATCACGCCAAGACGTACAAGAAATAAAATATAGGACCAACTAAATAAATTTACAATATTGAAAAATTACCGGAGCAAAAGGTGGTGCATATTTGCCCAGTAGTCCTCAGCTACTCGGGAGGTACTGGAGCCAACAGCAATCTGCTATGAGCCAGGAGTTTAGGAGGATACTAGCTGTGAGTTGGCTCTGCGCATGAACCACTCTAAGCTTACTGGGTAATAAGTGTAGACATTGTCTCAAAATTTAAAAATAGATTATTTGATACATCTATAATGACAATTCACCAATAAACAGAAGCAAAAAAAAGACACATGACTTTCTTCCTCTCAATGCTCATGATTTTGTTCAGAAATACGAGCTGTTGTTGACTAAACATTTCCACCTTCATGATACGAAAACACTTTATAAGAAAATAGGACAATACGAAAGATCGGACCATCTACTAACCAAATCGATACCATGCATATATCTTGATTTCAGCACCCATCACCCATCACACTCCATATGAATGGGTAACTCAACTGAAGCAATCCAAATTAGAACTGGAATTCAGTACAGTGCCTCGCATCTATCATCCACTACTATTCAGCATATTTGTGCATGATCTGGCTACATAGCAATCAGACAGCAAAGTAGGAATTAAAGTATCCAAATAGGGGCAGAAGAGATCAAACTATTCACTGTTATGCTGATTGAATATACATATTAATCTTTTTTAGAAAAACCCATAAGAATTTTCAATCACGAAACTCTGGAAATTGAATAAATAGTTATACGAAACTATGCACTACAGATATCATCAAAACTCAATACGAATTCAGTTCCAGGCTAATTCACTATACGACAACAACATATCAAATTGGAAACCATAATTAAAGACTCAATAACCCTGTCTACAATAGCAACCAAAAGAAATTAAAGCTAACACTATGACAATATCGTGTTACCTGTGAACCTATATATACTGTTAACAAGGATGTAAAAGACCTCTCACAACTAATCGTTAATGTTGAACTAATGAACACTAGAAGAAGGAAAAGCAGAGGATGCAAACAAGATGAAATCCATTCATGCTCGTGTATACAGCAGCAAACTCCAACATATCTCCCCAAATGTCTTATACCAACTACACCAAACTTGATTCTAACAGTCCTCATCACCTGCATCTTACTATATTAAAAATCCATCAACGCTCTCCATTCTCACCCGATTCTATTAGACAATCAATGTTAACTATTTGTATGCCGATCCAAAAATAGACCCCGACCGATCATCAAGAGAAATTCTCATGAGTAACAAAAATCTATTGTAAATGGGCACGATATTATAATATGACCAGACTATTCAACTATACTACTGACAACTAACATGTGGTAATTAAAACAATCTGCGACTTCGGCACATAAACACAACGGAATACTGATGACGACCAGCTCGAACAGAAGTGAGAATCTGATTCCATCAAAACATCCTCATCTAACTAAGCCATTATACCTTTGCAAAGCAGACAAAAACATACCGCGAAAAAGTAATCCTTTTAAATAAATGGTAGCTGGAAACATAGTTCGATACGCCACTGTGTAGACACGCGCTAACCGCCAGGACTCCACACCTTTCACTCTCAGTAAACACCCAGTCATACTCCACGCTGACTATTGACTTTAGCCGACTTACACCAGCGATCAGGTAATCTGAATTAAATATAGTAATCGAGATGAAAACTTGCGAACACTCACTTATCTCAGACATTAAGACCTGGTCAAAGAGATTATGAATGTGTCCTAATAGCAATCGCAGCAGCAACATAAATATAAATACAATAGAGAGAACATGATCAACACTAATCATTAAGTATCTGCATAGCCAATATAAACAGTCATGAACCAGTAACACTATGCTATACAACCTAACAGCAACAATGAGCAAATATTTGATTCTTACGCATCCGATTTAAACTGAGCTGAATAGAATTACATATCTGTATACATACCTCATTGAAATCAGCAGAAAAATCCAATAAACCCGGTATTACATACCCACTTCCTGAATCACTACTTATTTCCAGCATAGTGAGCAAGTAACATTAAAAGAAACATTCTCTAAAGCAAGTACAGAGATTTAAATGGCCAAGAACAACATATCGAAAAACATGCTCAATCAATTCTTGTAAATCAGTCTCTCGTGACCCATTGCACAATACAAAAGAACATCGAACTACTCACTTACACTTGTAGTGAGACACTGCTTTATCAACAAGATCTCCACAAATACAAATGCTGGCAATGGGATGGAAGAGAGAGGTAACTCCTACCACTGTTCGGTGGATGCACTCAGTTTCTAACTCCCGTCCTGTGGAAAGCATATAAGGAGATACAATTAAAGCGTCTTCCACTTTGTGAATCTTCATTTGATTCCAGAATCCCATTGCGGGCATCTACCCAAAAGATCCCAAAATGACACTCTAAGCAAAAAAGACACCTGCACTCGAATGTTTATAGCAGCACAATTCGTAATTGCAAGGCTGTGGAACATCCCAAGTGCCCATCAATCAAGAATGGATTAATAAAATGTGGATCACCTGGTAATACATGAGTACTATTCAGCTCTTAGAAACAACGGTGAATCAGCAAATCTTAATATTCGTTTCCTGGTTACGTAAGCTGTGAACTCACATACATAAAACTATAGAATTGAAGTATACCAAGTAACTGGAAAAAAAAGTCACCAAATTGGTATAACCACTCAGCAAATCATAGTATCATAAATGGAGTGCAACACCTAAGTGGACACGATAGGTACTCACAGTAATAGGGTACTATGGCAGGTAGGGAGGAGTGGGAGAGAGGGAGGTATAGTAGTGTATTCTATATCACTAATGAGTAGATGTCGCACAAATCCTGGGGGATGTGTTCCACGCTGGAGACTTCAGATCTTGTGAGAGGAGTGGAGGAGACGTAAGTGTGCTATATTCATTGAAACCTTTCTTAAATATCTGTTACCCTTCACCCATTCATATCTTCCGATAATACTCGGTTCTCAAATAAAAAAAAATATCGTAGACTCCCTTCACCATCTTCGCTTCATCCACGTCTTGCAGTGACCAGCGCGAGGTCGGACGATGATGCGCGCTAATGGCCGACTCCAGAAGCGGGAGTTGGCAAGACCTGGGTGGTGGGCCCTCGCCCCTTAACGCACTTCTCCCGTGCGAGCCCGGCTGCCCCACCTGCCCGCTGAGGGCCGGCTTGTCCACTGGCGACCGGAGCCAGCAGCCCTCTTCAAAGGGCTGCGAGCCCCCACTGGCAACCCCTGGCCTCGGCAGCTGCTCGGTGACTGTCCGCATCCCCTATAGCCGCCTCGGCTGTTGCTGAGTAAACAAAACTGGCATCAACCGAGACAGGTCTCGGACTATTCCCGTACCTCCTTCTGATTGCATTTTTATGGACATTCCCGGGCTGCTTGCAAACCCTTCCGGAAATGAGGGCGGCTTTGAAGGTACTGGTTCCCGATGAAGGAACCTCGCTCTGGAACTGGAGGAACGGTCATGCCTCCTGTGACCACTGTCAGGGAGCACCCGTCCCTGATTTTACCAGATTCTGTAATTTCAGGCTTCCTAAAGTGAGGCTCACCAGTAAATGATTCTGAGGGCTTCCTTAGGCAGTCGGGTTTCTGACAAACCCTGATGCTCGGCAGCCTAGATCCGTAGCTGGCTGGGATGCCTCGAAATCGAACCAGGTTACACTTATGCAATCTCAACACAGGCCGCCAGTTCCCACTTAGGTGGCGGCAAACGATCCCAGTTACACTGGAGCATGTTGCATCTTGTAAACGTGAACATACAGTTAACGTTTGTGGCCATGGGTGTTGTTCAAGATGAGGAGTATTTTCTCAGCAACCCCCCTGTCTCTTCCTTCTTGGGTGCTCCTTATAGGATTAAGTGACCGGCTAAAGTCATGATAGAAGTAGGGACAGCATCTTGGAAAGTGGCAAACTTAAATTCCATCCTCGCACGTGGCATATCTCTGTAACACAACCCAGAGCAAAAAGACTCCACTCTCTCACACACACACACGGTTTTCGAGCTTCATTTCGGGTTCAATGTCCAGAAAACAGACAACATGTGGGCCAGATAACTCGTCAATCGTGCTCAGATGACGAGAGCCGAGGGTGGACGTGCAGGGACGACTGGATCTTGCTGCTCAGTATTATGCAAAGAGCTGCAGTCAAGAGTCACCAGACTTCGAAATGCAGGCGAGAGCCCACCAAGGGCAGATAACGTAAGTTCCATAATCAAGGCCAGCAGAGGCGGGGGTGGGCAGACCGCAGAACCATGCCACCACCTTCATTCTTTTTTTTTAAGTACTTGGCTGGCCAACAGAACACAGTGAGAGCTGTATTTAAGTAGGCCGCGTGGCTTTCTCTCCTGAAATTCTAGTTACTAGATCGAACACAGGGAAATAATTTTAAGGTCCAGAAGTTTCGACCATCATCAAATCCACGAGTAGACTCTTTGATTCTTTATGCCAACCACTCCTTTCTTCTGCTTCCTAAGCACATTACAGGTCTGTAATATAGCTTCCCTGATATTCTTTTGCTATGTTTACTAATCTTCCTCCTCATTGTCTCTCTACCTCTTTCTCTCCCCATGCTATAAGTCCGGGAAAGCAGGAGTGTGTTTGTCTCGCTCAGGGATTATAATCGCAGCCCCAGCCAGGCCAGGCATGTGACTGTTCGCATAAAAACTGCTGAGTGGATAGCCGGGACCAGTTGTCATTCTAAGTCTTTTTTCATTTTTCTGCTAGTGGTGGCTTCTCTGCCTGTATAGATCCTAGCTCGCTCTGCGATGAGCAGCCTGAGGTGGGAGGATTCGATATCGAGGTCAGGGACGCTGTCCAAACTACCCTGACATAGAGCTTGAGTTATCCGATAAATTCGATCATCTACTATTATAATTTCAGAATAGAACCTATAGATCTGAGACCACTAAATAGATGGAACAGATTAAAATGCAATAAAATGAGTCCGTAGACCATTTCCTTGGTTTGTGCGCATTGCCTGATAGTTTGCCACGCTATTCTCGGAGGAAGGACGGGGCATGGAGGTATCACATTTGAATTGCCCAGGAAGTTTGAGTTGCATGTGGGAGCGAAACCGGCTCGATCCCAGTGCACTCACTCACACTCTGAAGCTTAGGTCAACAAAGCGACGACTTATCGTCTTCAAACAAAACAATAACAACACAATAAAAATATCTGCACTGAGTGGATAAAGCTAATGGACATGCATGTGTGATGTCACCTCTCGCAACTCGTCTTATCATTATTCATCCTTGCACCGTGTTCTGACTAGTTTTCTCAGCTGCTAATTTGTTACATTACTGGCAATTACAGTACACGGTTAAATGATAAGTATATTGAAGAAGCTGCTGGGTGATTTGATGGGGGATCCCCTAATCTAGATGCGTTAAAACTCACTAGTGAGGTGGGTGGGGGCTGTGTCTAGTAAACTATTTGTCCACTAGGCCTTGGCGGGGAGATTGCAACTGAGACTCTTCTATACAGTCGCTGTCAAGCTCAGCAAACAAGACGGATAGCAAGTTTCTATGACTTAAGGCTGAAACACGGCACGGCTATTCCGGTACACTGTTAGGCATCAGGGATCTCTGATGCTGGCGTAATGCATCCCTAGGATATCTAGGAAGCAGCCGGATGGTGCTCAGATGTAAGGCGCACTAGTAATTGCTTCCAGCTCAGCATTCTGGTATTGCGGAAATAAACCCACTAGACCCCCCTAGGCTGAGTTCTCATGCGTAATGAGGGGGCTGTGGTGAAAACCCCAGCAGTAGAACCAGGTCACTAAGAATATGGCCGACGCTGGCAGCTTTAGGCGCTCACGCCTGTCATAGCCTATGCACGTCGGGAGGTGTCGAGAGGGAGACTCAGCTCAATGTCAGGAGTATCTGATATAACTAATGTAGTTTGAGACCACTGTCGTCTACAATACCAATATATGATAGATTGAAAACTATTAATAGCGTGCCATCTATAAATATATTATGTAGAGAGATACTTACCGCATTTTCGGTCTATGCTCCTGCCGGCCTAGTAGTACCAGCTTACTCGTGAGGTCTGAGGCAGGAGATCGCTTATGATTGCCTCATTTTTGTAATTTGAACGAGTTATGGAGTTGCCTGATGAGCAGGGTCTTGACGCCACGGACTCTAGCAGGCAATCAGAGGTGAGATAATTAAGTTATTGGACAAATTACATTGACCATATAATAGTTGGCCAATAATTATCTTTCTTATTTTCAGTAGAGATCGTGGGTCTCGTTCTTGCTCACGAGCTGGATATTTAGAACTCCTAGCCTTTAATGCATCCTCTTCCCATACTTTGGCCTCTGAACAGAGTGCTTGATTTACAGGTCTGAGGCATCCTATTGACCGTCCATTCATTTTATTTTTTGAGCACAAAGTTCCACACTTCTATATATGACCTCGGAGCTAAAGAGTGCAGTGGCAATTCAGCCTGAAGCTCACAGCAACCTCACAACTATCCTGGTGATAGCGATTTCTACCTGTCTCTTAGCCTCTACACCGAGTATCTGGACCGATAACGCAGACGTTTGGTGGACGCACTTGTTTTTATAACGAATGCCAAGTTCTTTAACTTGTTTATATCATCATATTTTGTTAGTTGTTTCACAGAGCTGGATATTCTTTCTAATCTTTTAGGTAGAAGACCGGGGGTCTCACTCTTGCTCAGGCTGGGTCTGGTAACTCCTGAGGCTCTAAGCGATCCTTCGCTATTACGGCGTCGCCAGAGATGCTAGGATGAAAGGCTCGAGACTACCGCTAAGCCCGGCATCACCCTATTGGCAATCCTTAACCAAAATTAAATTAAGCACAGACTCTGTAACTATCCAGATGAGCGGTTATCTGATTCCAACCAGAGGGCATTGGCAAAGCTCTGATACATTTTATTCAGATGTCCTCTATATCATGAATTTGCGGTCGGGTTTCTGTAGAGCTACGTAGTATCTAAATTCATGATAAAGGCAGAAGGGCCTGACCGTGATCGTATTGTATATTATATATACAACCACTTTGTAATGGCAGTAAGGACATGGCCCACTGTCACGGTGCTGAGGTTATTTGAGACCTGTCGTTACACATTTTAACGGAGACCATCATGTACTGCAGAGGTAAGGATGATGTATGCAGAAGTCCAGTATTCATGGGGAGGAGGTATTGCCGTCAACCTACAAAACTCCACCTTGAATTAGCTACCCTGTAATGAAATACAAACCTCTAATTGTGATTCACAATAAGACGAAAATTTGAGCGGTCTGTTTTGGTTACAGCGAGTCTAGTGTTTTACTATTCAGCTAACATACCAAAAAAGACACGGACATGGCGAAAGGAACTTGACTTTTGATTAATACTAGTACACATTCAGTAGGATTTAGTATGAAACGGTACATTATCTACTAATTTTATTGCTGTCGTCTAACTTGAATAAATGATCAACTAAGGCAATTGATTTTCGCTTAAAATTTACACCGTAATGTCCACAGCACGAATATATCTACATAAATTAAATAGTAACATCAAATTCAATATGCCGGTAATTCTTATATATCACAAGCATGGAGTGGACTATTGAGATACTTATTTATGCAATTTTTGATGAAAATTTGGCGGACTGACCGAGCGGAATGTTATTGTGTTAAGGTTGGGAATTCAAATCGAAAATATATGTATTATTATTTTACTAAGTACTTTCATCAGTTTATTTATTTGCAATGTTCTGTACATGTATTCAATTTCGATAGTTCTTCTACACCATCTTGAGCGCCATTTGATTTAAAATGAATTTACAGTTCAAATTTCTGTATTATATAGGAGATAGCAAAAACTTGTTTACAGATGCGCTGCCTGCAGTCATATTTTGTATAATGCCAGTACTCTCAAACTGTCTAGACTAATTTATTGACAAGTTGATCCTATAAGGAAATTCGTTTCATTTTTTTCTAATTTTTTCTTATATTGAGAGTACGTAGATGTCTCACTTCTGCTTGCCAGTGCATCACGCTAAGGGAGTGACGTGGCGTCAGCCATCGCTCTACCTAGCATACACTCTAGATCTGGGCTCTATGGTGATCCTACCTGCCTCAGCTCACACACATGTTAGCTAGGGACTATACAGGCATGTCGCCAACCTCATTAATTTATTAATATCAGTAGACCGGTACTTATTCTTTCTATATAGTTCATTCTAGTATGGCCAATTATTATTTCATTCTATTTATATAATCGTAGAGAGGGGTCTCGCTCTTCAGCTC